CCCCCCCCCCCCCCCCTTTTAAAGAAAGTTTTAAAGAGCAGCATTTATTTAAAATTGAAATCTCTTGTAACATTATAAATGTCTGTACTGTCATTTTGATCAGTTTAATGCATCCTTGCTTAAAAAAGTATTATTTCTTTAAAACAAAAAACCTTAATGACCCCAACCTTTTCAACAGTAGTGTATATACTATATATCATTTGTGCTAATAAAATGTTAAGAAGAGCTAGAAATAGGGCTGACATTACCTTTAAGGACAGTCAAGTGTCTCCCTGAGACTGTCATTTGTTGACACTTTACAGTCGGAGGGGGCAGGACATTAAGTGTGGTGCTGACTGTTAGCAAGCAAGAGAAAACGAGACCAATTTAAAACAATTTCCTAAACAGCATATGTATCTAAAAAAAATGTTTAACAGTACAAAGGCTTTCTGAAATACATAACATTTCAAGAATGTATGTGACAGCAGGAAAAACTAAAATCTAAAAACATGACACTGACACTTACAAGAACAGCAGATAAAGAAACAAAGAGAGGAGAAATAATGAAAGGAAAGCAATGGTGATGAAGTGACGAGCGAAAAAGGCAGATTCCTGAAGTCCTAAATCAATAATGACATCATGCAGTATAGTGATGAAGGATGCAAGAGCTCACCCTGCGCTTTGAAGGTGTTTAGATCCTGGCGGAATGTTTGGCAGGGGCTCTTTTGTTGGAGGATGCTGAGGTAGCCATGCTCTTGGATCTCAGCTTTCTCCTCTTCTTGCTTCCACACAGTTACAATTATCTGCATTGAGGTAACACGCATACATCTACATATATCAGAGGTGCAATCAGAAACACATGCAACATGACATACCATGAGCACTGGTGTTTGATTGAATCGACATTTCTTGCACACACACTCACACTTTACATTATAATCTACTTGTTTTTTATTTTTTTAGAATTTACTTGTTTCACTTCTGTTTCAGTTTTTTTTATAACCATTTCTTACTATGTGTCAGTAAGTTGTTGTTATTTTAGCATGTGTGTTTGGCTCAGTGTTATTTTTTTTAGGATTACTGATAAACGAATGTAGTTTGATTTGTATTAGTTATCTATTTTAGTTTTAGTTACAGTTGTAGTAATGTTGTCATTTTATGAGTTTTTTATTATGTCTATATAGGTTTTTTATTAAGTTTTAGTTTTATTTAATTTGAGTTATTTCAGTACTTCAACATACAAAATGGAAATGAAATAATATATATATACTGAATGTATTTATATATATATATATATATATGTACATGTATATGT